GATGTAGCTTTGTTTGTGCATGAAAAAAGGTCTCCCAAGTTACAAAAGCCCAAATCCATGTAAAAGAGTGTGTGTGCCCCCCCGCTTTTAAATCACTTTGACACAATGGGGGGAATGTCAATTCATGAATGTGATACGCTCTGAAAGTATCTTCATCTCCTAAAAAGAAAAAATAACTTATGTCCCTCATTCAAAGTTTTCCACGTTTTCCTTCCGAACAGTTTGCTGTTGAAAGTGTTCTGAAAGGTGGTGAATTTGACGCACAGAAAGTGGCAGTTTCAGGAGGCTCCCACGGTGGTTTCCTCGCCTGTCATCTGATTGGCCAGTACCCAGCATTCTACAAGGCCTGCGTGGCTCGCAACCCTGTCACCAATTTTGCTTCGATGATTGGCAGCACAGACATCCCAGACTGGTATGTCTTGGCATGAGCATTCCCCCACTCGTCCCCAAATGGTTTTACTCATTTTTTATGGCTGTGTCAGTCATGCACAGCTACACATGTGTGGTGCTGTATCATTGTCACCTCTGACATTCTGGCCTGGCAGCTGTAAGCATGCAATGGAGTGTGATGAAGGGCATGTGTCTGTCTTGTTGAAGGGAGGTTTACAGTGATGCACACAGCAGGGACATCCTCTCAAAACCATTCTGTGACTTCTCTTTTTAACTTTCTGTTTTTATATTTAACTAGGTGCATGGTTGAGGCTGGTTTCAACTACAGCACAGACTGTCTACCTGACCCTTCTGTTTGGGAACAGATGTTGAACAAGTCCCCCATTAAACATGTAACACAGGTAAGGATTCCTGTGCCTTGACTGTATATGTAACTTCATTGGTGTTGTTACACAATGTAGTAACCTAAGGTGATCTCTTTTATTAGGTACAGACACCGGTTCTGCTTCTCCTAGGGGAAGATGACAAGCGTGTACCCAACAAGCAGGGAATCGAGTATTACAGGGCACTGAAAGCAAAGCAGGTTCCAGTTCGGTAAGCAGCTTGTCTGACATAACCAATAACACACAGTACTCAGATATGCACAGTAAGACTTTTTTATCACATAAGTGCTCTAACGTGTGTTGTTTAGACTGCTGTGGTACCAAGGGAACAACCACTCTCTCTCCAAGGTGGATGCAGAGTCTGACGGCTTTATGAACTCCACTCTTTGGATAATTCAACACTTAAGTCAGTGACGGTAAATATCAGACAAAAAGGTAGCAAGACGCTGCTGTGTGTCAAGGATATGATGCTTCTGTTTTCAAAACAGTGTGTGGTCCATTCCAAAGCCAAAGCTCTGAATGTGCTGTCCAACCAGAACACACTTCATGTAAATGTACGTTACCTGTATTCTACTGGGGTCGATGATGATTGCTACAATTACTTTCAATAATTGGGAAATAATAGTTTTATCACTTTTGATTCTGCATTTTTGTTGCTACTGTTTTTAAATACAAAATGAAGGGGGTTTCAGTGTTTGAGGTTCCATTACCAAAGAAAATGAATTTAGTGAACAATCTGTGTTCACTATTACAGTTTGAAAACAAAAGGTTTAATGGGTTTCCTGAGTCAGTGCACTTAATAAAATGATTGTGAAAATATTACCAGTGTGGGATGAATCTTGCATAAATGACCATGCTCTGATAAAAGGATTTTTGTGCTATATTTTGTCTTTAAACATTTAGAAAGGTAATGATCGAAGTCATCTTACTTTCTTCAATCAATAAATCAACATTTATTTATATAGAACCTTACAACAACCAAGGGTTGACCAAAGTGCTTCACAATTGCAAATCAAACATACACAAACAACAAACACAAGACAAGAACAACAGTTTCAGTTAAAGGCTAGTTCAAACAAGTATGTTTTTAGCTTGGTTTTGAACAGAGGCAGGTCAGTGGTGGTGCGTAGGTCAGAGGGCAGTGCACTCCAAAGTTTGGGACCTGCTACTGCAAATGATCGGTCAGCCCACTGTTTGCTCCTGGATCGGGGGACCTCTAGCAGGTGCTAGGAGCGGAGAGCTCTGCCGGGTTGGTGGAGCTTCAGGGTTTCTCTTATGTAGGCAGGTGCAAAGTTTACTGCATTGCTTGTAAAGTCGTTTGCTTTTTAAAAAAATTTTAGTTATGTATCAGATGTTCCTCAAATTGGTCATGGTCACATGATTTTCCACCTGTCACTTGCTTTCAGTTCTGCATAGATACATCCCATTTTTTGCCACTGAACCGACCTTTAGAAACCCTATTTAATGTCCTCTGTTTGCACCTGGATATAAGACTGCTTCATCTGCCTCCTGATTAGAATTATATACATGCTACTTGCAATGGTAAGTGAGACTAATTATCTACCATCAGTAATATACCGCTTTTGACTGAGACAAATATTTTCACTATTGTAACATGAAAAAGACAGAAATGGCTGATTAGAAAGGCTTGAAAAAGCCAAAGTGATTTAATTTGCAGTTGTTTGAAGCCACTTTAACTCTAGGATGCCATTGATTAAATGTATGATGGTGATCATAGTGTGATATTGTTTAAAATGAAACTATATTATATTTTCTGAGCTATCAAAAAACAACTGAGATGAATTTGGTTTCTTCTTTTGTCTCAGGCCGTGTTGAGAAATATCCTCATCTTTGGTCAGCTTCTATCATTAGTGAGGACCCAAAATGTCAAGTTCTTCCCATGCGACAGTGATGAGAATGCCACCACGGTAGACTGCTGTGGGAGATCACTCAAGAAAGTCCCCACCATTAAGTCTAACACTGTGGTGTCAATCAATTTAAGTCAGAACAAGATACACCATGTAGAGAAGGATGCTTTTGCAGGTGTCCTAAACCTTCAGACTCTGAAAATAATATACAATTGTCAACCAAGTCGATTAAGAGCCTTAGATAACGACTCATGCAACATGGAGATCCACCCTCAAGTCTTCAAGAGCCTGCACAATCTTACATTTCTGTATCTATCAGGAAATAGCCTCAAATCTATCCCCTGGTTACCTGAAACCCTGAAGGTCCTTGATTTACAGAATAATTGCATCTTCCAAATTACACAACCTTTGAAAACTCCAAATCTGGAAGGGCTCTTCCTCACTAAAAACTGCTTTTATGCAAACCCTTGCTACCAGTCCTTTTACATCAGTGAGATGGTTTTCAGAGAGCTTCATAAACTCAAAAACCTAACATTAGGGTATAATAATTTGACATCTATCCCTAAGGGACTGCCACCCTCACTGGAGAGTCTGGATTTAAGAGAGAATACAATCACAAAGATTTTAAATGGAACATTTGCGAACCTCACTATGCTAAAGTATTTGAGTTTGGAGTGGAACTGCCAGCGTTGTGACCATGCAGCTAGGCCCTGTTTTCCTTGTCCAGGTCTTAAACCTCTAGACCTGTATTCAAACTCATTTTATGCTGAGAGCAGCTCTATCATCTACCTAAGTTTAAGGGGCAACTCTTTGACAGACTTTCCAGAGGGTATTTTCAGACCTTTGAAGAATTTAAAGAGTTTGGACCTCTCTGACAACCTCCTTGCATGTACTATGCAAAATGGCACCTTCTTTGCAGATCTGAAGGGCCTCACTTGGATTAGCCTTATCTACAACTATGAACCATTGCGAACATTTGACAGGCTGACCCTCTCCCCAACTATAAGCAATATATCTGGTCTGGAACATCTCCTTCTGACTGGTAACTTTTTCCGCGAGCTTTCACCCAGCAGCCTTGATGTTCTGTCCCAGCTTAAAAAACTAAAGACACTGGAACTGAGAATGAACTTCATTACTAATTGTAACTTGACAGCTCTGACACAGTTACCATCTCTCATTGATATCAACCTCTCCCAAAACATGCTTTCATTCCTCCCTTGCAGCTCTAGTACACCATCTGAGATTGTGGCACAGGAAGGCTGTCATAAAAATAATTTATATACACACAATTTCCATGACCAACCCATGATTGTACGTAATCGTGAAGTTCCATCAAATAATGAGATCTGGGAACCCAATCAATCAAATGAGCTGGGAATGAACAAGGACAAGGTGTCACAATTTCCATCACTAAGTGACTTTAGAACTCGTTTTTGTCATAATAAATTGACTTTTGACCTGTCTCAAAATGACATTATATCTGTTAACAAACATGTGTTTCTAGGCATGGAAAATGCTGTTTGTTTGGATCTCTCCTTCAACTACATGAACCAAGCACTGAAGGGTGGGCAGTTTAACAGCACAAAAAAGTTAGTTTTTCTTAATTTGTCATACAATAGGCTTGATCTTTACTATTCTAGTGCTTTTAGTGAGCTTAAACACACTCTCAAGGTATTAGATATTAGTAACAATGATTTTCACTTCAGAATGAAGGGCATGGGCCATAGTTTTGAGTTCCTTTGTGAGCTTACTACCTTGGAGGTCCTTAGTCTTGCCAACAATGCCATTGAGAAGAGAATAAGTAAAGGACTGAGCAGCAGCTCTGTGAAGTACCTGTACTTCTCTGGAAATGACCTCAATGTTATGTGGGAATCTGACAACAACCTGTACACCAAATTCTTCCAAAACCTGACAAGCCTCATCTACCTGGACATCTCCAACAACAACCTGACCTCAATCTCACAGGAGATTCTGTGCAACCTCCCAGGAAGCATTGAAGCCCTCATTATCAGCAAGAATCTGCTTGAATATTTCCCATGGCAGAATATCACAGCACTAGGCAATTTGTGCCACCTGGACCTCAGTTACAATAAGCTCTTTTATTTGCCCTATAACCCCACAGGATTTAGAACCAATCTTTCTCTCTTGGACCTCAGTTACAATACACTTAGTTTTATCCCCAAGCCTTTCTTCAAAGAGTTAAAATCCTTGCAATATCTGTATCTCAACAACAATAACATCAAGGAGTTGGACCATCAGAATCTACCCACCTTTTTTCTCAATGGAAGTGCCATTAAGAAACTCACTTTACATAAAAACCCCTTTAAATGTGATTGTGATACATCCTGGTTTGTGGAATTCTTGCTCACGACTCCAGTCCAGATTCCTTATGTCACAACACATATGCGTTGTGAATTCCCAGTGTCCAAACAAGGCATGAGTATACTATCAATGGACCAGCATTCCTGCCAGGAAATATATGGCAGCTTAGCTTTCTTTCTCTGTTCCCTCTTGGCTGTGACATTCACTGTTCTGCCCCTGCTGAAGCATCTCTATGGCTGGGACATGTGGTATTGCTTACAGGTGCTTTGGGCAGGGCATAAAGGATATACCCAGCTGCCTGGTACTGATTCACTGAACCGCTATGATGCTTTTGTGGTGTTCGACACCAACAACAAGGCTACGAGAGACTGGGTCTACAACGAGTTAACTGTCCATCTGGAGAACTTTGGTCACAGGACATTTAGTCTCTGTTTGGAAGAGAGGGATTGGATTCCTGGGCTTTCATGTATTGAGAATCTACACAGCGCTGTCAACAACAGTGTGAAGACGGTGTTTGTGCTTTCCAGCGGCGCTGACGGTGGTGATACGGTCAATGGTGTGATCCGCCAGGCTTTCTACATGGTACAGCAGCGGCTCCTGGACGAAAAGGTCAGTAAAATGTTGTCTCACATTAATGTGCATTTTGTGGAAGTGGTGAGACTGAGCATGAGTACACAACACAAAATGTTCTCTGATTTTACCCAAACAAGGTGGACGCAGCCGTGCTGGTTCTGTTGGATGAGATGTTTCCCAAACTGAAGTACCTCCAGCTGAGGAAGAGGTTGTGTAGAAAGTCTGTGTTGACCTGGCCAAAAAACCCAAAGGCTCAGCCTCTTTTCTGGAATGAAATGAGAATGGCATTGTCGTCAGATAACCTCAAATTATATGACAACAACATGAGTGAAAGTTTTGTCTGACTCCATATTAACAGCTGATCCTGAGACCTTTTGTGGAAATTGATTGATGATGTGACGTACTGTACATACTAGTATTATTAATATGTTAATCGTTTTGATTCAAACATAGCAGCTCTTCCATGCCAATATTTTTTTGTCTTTCTTTTCAAGAGTGCTTGATTTTGATTAATGATTTCAATTGTTGTGTTTTGTTTTTTTATTCATTTGAAGTGTTATGTTATGAATTCTTTATTTTTCCAATCCTGAGTTTGCTTTACTTTTTCTTTTAAGAGTTAGTCGCTGTCTTCGGAGAGCTTGAGTTAGTATGAGAAATTAGACTTTATAATTCAACAATAAAAATTAATTTCACCTAATTTCACTCTTATAACTCTATTTAATTTATAGTTTTATTTGAATTTTCTGTCTGTTCACACCACAATTTTCAAATTTCACTTGTCTTTGATTAGCTCATGGGGAGAAAATGAAACTAGTGATTGTTTCTTTCAGATCACAGATGACTTAAAGGTCATCAGCTGCATCCAAAGTTACACTTACAGTTACATGCAAGAACAGGTGTTCTGGATGAGGAGTGGAAATAAAAGCAGAATCATTCTCCCTAAGGCAAGTGGCGTAAAACGAATTATGAAAATAATAAATAATAGTACTACTGAAACAATACATTTCAAGCTACAAACATACAGTAACTAAACAAATACACACAATGTCTGTTGTGGGCAGTACTGCTGTTAGTTCTGTAGCCAACATTTATTGAAGCCTTCAGTCCCAGCTTCATATTTCGTCTCATGACGTGGGAAGTAAAACTGACCAACACCAGCATGTCTGAAAGTGAAATCTCTGCTCTGACAAGTTCTTATGATTCTATGAGTAAATAACTGTAAAGTGAACAGTTGCTGTTTCTGAATTTAAGTTTCCAAAGGCTGTTGATCACATAGCAAAATTGTTTTGGCCCACATCCGGCCCACGTATATACCAGGTCAAAGGATGGCACTTTGGCGGTTACAGATCTGGGCCACAAGTGAGCCACTGCATTAATGCATTTTAACTAAAGGTGCTAAAAATGGCTAGAATTTGTTTTGTGGCATTTGGGCTATATTCACCATTTACCAAAGGAGCCACTTAGGTTCACATCCAGAGTTCACCTTGCAGAGATCGCCGTATGTTTTCCAGAAAAGGGCCAGCATTTGTTTTGGGATATTTGGGCCACACTAGCTATTTTATAAGTTGGTAACTTTAAGCTTACATACTATTTGCTCTGGCCACAAGAAGGCCAGAGGTGCTGCTTTATTACATCTGTATAAGCCATCTGGGGGCCCAGGTCCACAGTTGCTGTTGTGTAATTTTGGATTTGCATCTGGACATCTAATATACAAAACAAACTCATTCATGGGATTAAATTACTGATGACTGTCAGGATATCTGTTGCCTGATCTGTATGGGGGGGGGGGAGGAGATTGGAATACAATTCAATTTATTTAATTGCATGAATTTGCGTGATTTTTGTAAGGGGGGGGGGGGCAGACAATTGAAATCCCTTACTGACGCTCAGGTCAGGTGTTTGCATCATTGCTGTTGGCGCTGCCCTGCCACGCCACGGAGGTCGCGCACACGCCAGCTTGGGGGAGAGCGCGCCCACGCGGACCCGATGGCAGGACAGGTCATCATAAACGAGCTGAACCGATGACATCATGGAGCCCGCGCTGCGCTCGGACGGGGGCACGGCGGAGACCCGGCGATGATGGAGCGGCGCCTGTCCGGTGAAGCGAAGTTTTTACGCACAACCGCGGACTCCGTGGCATCACCCGGCGACACAATTTAAACAAATGAAACAGTGAGCTGTCCGGCAGATTAATTATTATGTAAGGCGCAGGCTCGAACTCATGGAGCCGTGCGCATATGAGCAAGAAACTAATCCTTCATGTCGTGGTCGTAGTAGAGTTATTCCGGCGTCTGTGTCCGGGCTCACATGCACGATCAGCGTCGTACTCGTGCCACCCATGAACCACAGTGAGGACTAAATGACAGTTTGGACTGAAGGCATGTTGACGAGAGAGGAACCTATGGACTACATGTCATTGCGCACATCAGCGACCACTGGTTCTGTTGCAGTCCGGGTGGTGACTCCACTTCTCTCCTCGCGGCAACAGCTGGCTGCCACCTCACAAGTAAGTGCAGAGGCTTTGGGCGCCGGTATGAAGTGAGGGGGTTGCCTACTTGTGGAATCTTATTTTAGCATTTTGTTCTTTCGTTTCCCTCCCTCTGTCGGTAAGGTCTGACATACAGCTGCGTAAACCTGACCATGGAAACAGACCAGCTACACAGGTTTATCACATCTCCATTTTAACGCAAGTGATGGACACAGCTTCGGCAGCAGCAGGCTAACATGTGTCCTTGTTTTAAAAGCTTTATCTGTTGTTTTATTGCAACAATCATCTCGTTCACTTTAGGTGCATATTTCACATCTCATGTACCAAGAAATGAAGGGCCTACACACGGGATTGCTGGTTCCATCGCTGGCACACATAAGGCAGAATTCATTGTCTCAAACAATGATGGAAAAGGGATTGACAGATATGTTATGACTGACAAGCAGACTTAACCAATCTCTCCGTTGAATCCTGTACAGTGGCGCCCAGCACCCAATCCTCTTGGATTAGAGGAGGGATTATAATTTGGATTTGCCTCTGCTTTGCAGACAGTCTCTAATATCTGGTCCATCACAGACTAGGTTGTGCTTACTTTGATTCCCTGAGGATATGTTTAATGTTTGGTTTTTTGCACATCAGAGACTACAAATGACCCTATTCCATTACATATTACATAGACATGTAATATAATGTACACTGATTTTGCCTTTATGTGGGCACCGTTTTAACATGATGCACCTTTCAATTATGATTTAGCCTGAATTCCATTTGCCTATTTCCGTCCTCTTTTTTTAGCTGAAGCCTCAGGTACTGATAAAGTCAGATGATGAATGTGCATGTGCCCTATGGGGATACAAGGTAATAAAGACTGATCTCCAAACTCCCTCTACGTTTCTGCGTCGGGTGTTGCCAAGCACAGATTTTCTCTTTTACACTCCATGTAGTGCTGTCCATGGTGCTGAAGTGGTCCTGACGTCCCTTGCCTTTTGTTTTCCTTTCACCTTCTACTGTGGTGACTGAGGCTGCGTTATAGGTGTTTGAAGCATCACAAGCAAAGGCCCAAGAGTGGCCTGTAGTCTGCTGCACCACATATTGACAGCATGTTTACTATGTGTCCATGTGATGAGTGCCTCCCAACCTTAAGCCACACTTTTTATTTTATCAGTTTGTATCTTTATGGCTAGATTTTTCAGTGGAATAATAATTCTTATAGTTTGTGATTGAAATATCATTCTTAAACAGTTTTTTCTTTTGAATTCAGATAAAGTTCTTTTACTGCTGACGTTTTTTTGAAAAAACTGTTCTTTGATTTGTGATTTGTCTCTTTTCCAATGTTTGTATCCACCCCCATCTAGAATCCATGATGTCCTGCACTGTAGCTGATATCACAAGACCTCTGGCCTCTGTGTCTGGCAGCCCTGTAGCCAACAGTCACTGCTACTTTATTCCAATAGGACTAATAACTCGGCCTCAAGCCCTTAACAATCAGAGATGGACAGGGAAAAACTAGGAGGCTGAGAGGTGGCCTTTGTCCCAAACCATATGAAAATATTCCCAACCATAACATTTTCCTTTCAGAAGTCAACCTTTGCCATATAAAAAATGCCTTTAAATATTAGAGCCAAGCCCTCACAGAGCAGACTGTCTGCTGGCCCAAAGACTGCTGGGCAGACTGCTGGGCAGACTGAGGGCAGCGCATCTCATTCACGCTTCTCGAGATCCCCTAAACAGGGCAAAGGTAAACAGGCTACGAGCTCAACACCAGGCTGCCGCTCAGGGCTAGAACCTGGCTCTGTGTCGGGAGGTGGGCCTGCACCAGCATCTAAATCTGCAGGAGGTCAACAGTTGGTTTCCAGGCCTGGTTCAAAGAGCAAACCTGCCACAGCAGCAGACAAAGGAGCAGCTCGCGGTTCAGCGACAGCACCAGGTGGTAAAACCCTGTCTATGGAGAATATACAGTCTTTGAGTGCTGCCTATGCCACCTCAGGCACCATGTATCCCAATGAGCGCGATTCCTTGGAACCCCCTGGTGGGTATCCCAAAGGTACCATGACGCTCGGCAGGAGCACCAGTCGTTCCTCCTACACTGCTCGCATGACAGCCATGGGCAGCAGCCCAAACATCACCTCCTCTGGGCTGCATCATCCGTCAGAACCCTACGGAGACCAGACCTTACTTTCCGCAGGGACTGCCAGTCTGCGGCGCCAGTCTGGGAGACATCAGGATTCTGCTGGACGGGGAGAGGCTTACACATTTGATCTCCAGAATCAGCTGAGGGAGCTGCAGAGGGAGAATGACAACCTGAGGCGAGAGATGGACGGAGGGAGGGATGGAAAGACGGTCCCCAGCGTGAACAGTGTCAACTTCTGGAGCCCTGACACGAAGAGAGACAAGGGGGTGAGGCGGGATGAAGGGTTGAGGACCGCAGTGCCGAAGGACCAATACAGGATGAACCAAGAGGATCTGCAGGTGAGAAAAAATACTAAATACTAACTAGAGTTTGTTTCAAAAAAGCATCTAGGAACGTCCACGTCCAGGAAAATCTTTAAATAGATGTGAACAAAATAGTTTCATCCAAAAATCATCATGAAACAGTCACTTCAACACATCAAGTCTTTATTCAAGAAGATGAAATGTTAGATGAAACCTCTAGATTTGAATTCTAACACTGACTTTTTGTTTCGACCCGCTTCACTCCTCTGCAACATCATACCTTTTGTCCCTGTCTTCCAAGGTTGCACAGAAAGATTTCTGTGTAGTTCATTTGTAAAGACGTTCGCCAGGCTCGTCGCTATCTGCGTTTCCATGGGAACATGCTCTAGCGGCAGCCAGTCTAAATGTTAGATTCTAAAAAAGCTCACAGCTCCTCCTGAAGGGTGAGTGAGCCATGTCTGTCCTGTGCTACCTCTCCCTGGAGTCTGCCCCACTCAGTCTGAGACATCACCCGTCTGCCTGTCTCACCGCGTGTATCTGCTCTTTCTTTCTCTGTTTTCCTGTTTTCTATCTTTCCGGCATTGTTCTGTGTGGTGTTTTACTTCCTGGTGTGTATGCTGGTGAATCACAAGCGTTTCTCCAGAGGTGCATTTCATCCTTTTGTGTATACTGTGAGACTCCTTCACACTATACAACCTGTCTTCATAGCAACATGCAAAAACTTCTTATCTGCCCTCGTTCATCTGACTCCTTCCTCTTGTAACCGAGGAGCCACCTCTGCATTTCTATTTGTATTTTAGACACTGTGGCTCTCACACACTCACACACACCCCACCCAAAAATCAAAGTTTAAAAGTTAAGCCAGAACAACTTTGCTCTTTCACAGATTTAATTTACAAATTGCAATTGATACATCTCTTCTTCACAGCTACACAATAAGATACACACACTGTCTAACCACACACACATCTGCCAGAGGGAATTCAGTAAGATTTTTAGACCATTTGTTTTTTGCACTGAATTACCTTCAGTTACAGCTTTTAAAAGGAGCAGGACAGTCAATGTTACCAGTGTGTCTTTGTGTATCTGCAGGCCGCTCCTGACTTGACCCTGTCTGTGATAGATGGATGTGTTTTCCTCTGTTCTGCTCCGTCAAGCGTCAGAACAGTACAGATACTATTTTTCAAGAGTCGGCTCACTTGTCTCTCCCACACTCTCTCCTGTCTTTTACCTTGACCCTTTTCTCCATTGACCTTCGTCTACTGAAACCACTTACTGCACCATACCAGTAGATTTATAACCGCGCGAACCAACATAACTTCCTTACAGAAGCAGAATTAGTTCCTTTCATAATGCCGTTTGAAGTGGCACTGAATTATAATGTGACAAACAACGGTCGGAATGAAAAGCAGGAATCAGATGAGAAAAACAGTTCAAAAACAGTTTTATTTAAAATGTCCAGCTTTCACAAAAGAGTGGGGCAGCAGAGGCTGATAAAAACATGACAAACATACGAACTACAACTTCAATTTGTTCATATAGTGTCAGTACAAAGTTGATAAACAGAAAAAGGGACAAACTGGGGACACACAAGACCCACAACGGACCGGGTGAGAGGTAAAGCCAATACAATAGAATACAAATCATTACACAAATGATAGAACAAATGATAGAATCCATTAAATGATGATGCATCCTCCAGCCCTCATACGAAGCCTGTGGTGATATTAAAGAACGCTGAACTCATGATCGCTCCCTTGAATCTTAATTCACACAATCTGTCGTGATTCTTGCATGTTTAATATCATTTATACAGAAAAACAATGTGACACACAAATGTCTTAATATACAGTATACACACACACACACATATGACTTATTCAATTCTAGTATCTGTTGTGTTCTGTCTTGACAATGTTCTGTCTTTTATTTGGTTATTTTTTACGAACTATATCTATACCTCTATCACCTCCATCGTCTTGTTCTCCTCTCAGTTCTTCCCTTTTCTCCCCCATGTTTTTTGCCCTTTGAGACACTCTGGGAGGATTTCAGTCTGACAAGAGAACTTTATCATTTGCATAAGGAATGTCACCTTTTCTCTCGGCTGCAATGCAGTGACCAGAGCTGTCCGCTAACCATCTGTTTGTTTGTAGTGTATGTGCTAATGTGTGTGTGTGTGTGTGTGTGTGTGTGTGTGTGTGTGTGTGACTTAATATTCAGCGCTAGCTTGTTGAATTGATTATCCATGTTCACCCTGGCCTCCTTTCTCCATCCTGATTGTGTGTCCTTGGTGCTCCCCGCACTCTGGACAGAGGAGTAAGGATATCAGGAATAATCTGTAATATTTTTACACAGATACAGAAAAGATTAGTAATTGAACCGTTTTGTGTGTCTTCTTTTCTTTTTCTTTTTCTTTTATTTCCTTACAACACTTTTTTACCTTGCTCGGTCAATCATCAAGAACACTCTGCATCCATGTCCTGCTTTAAGCACAAACTTAATTGCCATTAGAAACAGATGAGTGCTGTGAATGTAAATAGGGAATTTTAAATCACAACATGCAGCAAAAGTAGGAATTCTGAGCAAAATCACCTTTTCTCTGTTTGGTCCCATCTGTGTCACTTAGTGCACAATTCTTTAAGTTGACAAACCCGTCAGTGCATCAGTCTTAACACTTATTCATAAACTGATTTCATCTTAACAAATTCACTTTGTGCAGATAAACCCACAAAATCTATTTATATTTAAGGCAAATAAGGTTTTTAAAATCCTTAAAAATGTGATTAAAGTGGTGCACATGATATCTTTGAGTTTTCTTTTTGGTATAGCTAAGAAACAATTCGATTATTGATTTATGGGTTTATCTTACCAACTGATTGAGTGACACAACTGATCTGTACATTTTCATTGTTTTCATGTGTATGCACACTCCCTGTCTTTTCTCCCTTTTGATGCTCATTGCAAAGAACCCTGGTCCCTCCTGCCTTTAAGAACTCCACACAGGATGCATTCTCCTTGGAATTTGAAGAGATGTCGCCCCCTTGTGGTCAATATATGTTACCATCACATAACAATTTAAAGAACTGAGAAGACAGAAGTCATTTACACAGTGGTTTGATATTCAATTGCTAATATTTTTTTCTGTCTGCTTTCCATCTTGGCTTTATGAATGTGTGTTTGTGCATACGCATGTTTGTGTGTGTGTGTCACATCTCTCAGCTGCAGCATGGGGATATCAGAAGAAACAAGGTCTGTTTTATGTATCAACAATATATATGTTTTTATAGATTTATGGATTTTCGATTGGCTGTTTTTGTGTGTGTGTGTGTGTCTGTCTGTGTTGAATGAATGGGAGCTCAAACTGTCTCTGTCTTTGCAGCAGCTTCCGTTGACAGTTCAGGAGCTTCAGGAGGAGCTGAGGGCTCACAGAGAGATGAACAGTCGCTTGCAGCAACAACGACCGCAGGGAAACTCCAGCTCCTATCTAGAACTCCATACGGACCAGGACCACAGAGGGGGACTCAGTCCTGGGCACAGCCCTAGACAAAGCCCCAGCAACCTGCACAGCCCTGCACCGAAGAACAGCCCCAGAGCCAGCCCGTCCAACACCTACAATCCAAGGCAACAGGAAGCTGACATCATCATTCACAGCCCTGGTTATGGCTGTAACACAACAGCAGCCTCGCAGAGAATCAGCCCGGCCAACACCCTTCAGCCTGGACCAAGGAACAGCTCAAATCAGCCTCTCTACGGTCCCAGCCAAGGACCGGTGGTAGCGTCCAGCTCTAGTTCCCTTCGGCCCAGCAGCCCCTGCCAGGTGCCGGGGTGTGACGGCTTCTCCTCGCCCCCTCCTGTGGATCCGTCAGAGGAGAATTTCCTCCGGCTGCAGTCAGAGCACGAGCGGCAGGCCAAGGAGCTGTTCCTGTTGAGGAAGACCATGGAAGAGATGGAGATGAGAATTGACTCTCAGAAGCAGACGCTGGGCGCCAGGGACGAGAGCATCCAGAGGCTGCTGGAGATGCTTCAGGGTCAAGGTCAACACTGGAGTCGGGGACAGAGAACAGGCATCATAACCATGGCAGCGCAGGAGGCAGAGGCACAACTGGAGAACATGCATGTGAGAGAGGTGTGTTCTTATTCCTCATACTTTTGTAAAGCTCCCGGGAGTGAAAGGTTATGTATCTGAACAATTCATTTATAGTACCGATATCAAAATGATTTTACAAAACATCATCTGACATTTGATTTTCAAAACCAAAACTGATATTGTGATTCTTATCATTAAGAATATAGTGTGGTTTTTATACTATCCCCTAAAGACATTTATGATTTGTTGTTTTATGTATTTATTTTAATTTGCATATTCATTTATACAATTAATTAACTTTATGTGATGTGACTGTGTACATACTTGTGCTTGTGTGTGTGTGTGTGTTTGTGTGTGTGTTGAGTGTTGTTGCAAAAAGCAGCTCAGCAGGTCTTATCAATGGGCCGGATTAACATACGGAGAGCTGTAAGCCTGTGTTCATCCATACAGTTTTACAATCAGTGTGTGTGTGTGTGTGTGTGTGTGCACTTTCCTGGGCAACTGTGATGATGTCACTGTTGCTTGTTTGCCTTGTGTCTATGCGGTGGACATTGTTTTTGATATTTATTCAAGTGTTCCTCTTAATTGAGTGTATTCTCTTTTAGTTTGTTCTACCACAGCAGCATGTTTGTTGAAGGTAGAGAGTTTTATTGCAGCTCACCAGAAATCCTCATTTAGTGTAGCACAGGTGTGTCCGAATCCTTTACCAGGAGGGTTAGTAGTAGGCTGCTCTGTGCTTCTCACTCCTGCCTCGTTTATTTTTAACTCCTAAATCTTCTTAGCCCTTAATTTCTCTACCTCTCTGTCAGTGTGTGTGTGTGTGTGTGTGTGTGTGTGTGCGTGTGTGTGCGTGCGTGTTGCAAGTCTGTCCTTGCCTTCACTATTGTTAGTGTCATGATGTTCTTGTTTTTGTGTCTTTGTGTTGTTTGTCTGCCTCTGTTTGTTGGGCCAGCCAGAATGATTGTGTGCGTGTGTGTGTGTGCGTGTGTGTGTATGGGAGCATGCGTGCACATCTGGGGCCTGTCAGCTTAGCTTTTCTAGAGAGGACACTCCCTCACTGGGCTGCCGGTGGCTGATGGGATATCCACCCATGCCGGGTGTTTGGTCACTGCGGTAATTTTGTCAAGAGGGGAGCGTGGGTGTTTCAGCCCATGCTAATGCAGACACTGCTGTGCATGTGTGTTCTTGTGTGTCTTGTGCGTGTGTGTGTGTATGTGTACGTGCATGTCTAGAGGAACTAACCATGCTGTGTGTGTAAAAGGTGAGTAACTGTTCACACACACACTCTCTGTGCTGTGCTATTTTTAACCACTTGACTGCTTAAGACATGCAGTGTGTATGCAGGGGGGGGAGGAGGGGTGACTGGGTCTGTGAGGAGAGAGAGAGGGAGTGAGAGAGAGGGAGAGAGAGAGAGAGAGAGAGAGAGAGAGAGAGAGAGATGGGAGGATGGAGTGTTTTTCTAGTTTTTCTAAGGTAGGAAAACAGGCTGTGTTTGTCTGAATATTAATGTTTGATTAATGAGGGAAAACATTCTGACCGCCCTGATTGAAAAGAGACGTGATTGTTGTTCTTTCGTTTTTTTTTTCACCCCTCATCCCCTTCTGGCCTCCACACACACACACAC